ACAATTGATGTGTAGAGGAAGAGTTTTTGTAATAAGAGGAGAAAAAGGAAAGTGAGTACCCTTTGAAAGGCAAATAAAGATTTCCAAAATGATACTACACGCACGGATATATATGCACGTAAGTGTTATACATGACTTGACATGATATTGTATTGTATAATAATAATTTTATTTACTTTTTTTTTTGTATCATCACATCATCAAAGATATGTAGTAGAGAGTCAGTATTTTAAAGAAGAAAAATACAAAACATATAGGGACCTCTCCATGAAACTTTTAATTGTTTTAGATAAAATCATAATGTATAATTAATGGTTTGTATGTATAGATTGATATGCATGTCTATTAAACTATTACTAGTGTCCAATAAAACAAGAATCAGGTGAAAAGGAAATTACGTAGGTACAAAAGAGCAGGAATGCATAATTAATTTTAACGCAAAAAGAACAGTTAAAATGTTAAATACTTAAGCAGAAAAACAAAATATGTTAAATACATAAGAAGACAGCCAAAAATAAAACAGGACCAAATAAATTAAATTCTTAAAGATTACTTTTAAAATAGACAATACAATACAGAGAGGAAAAAACAAGAAAAATAAAAAAAGGTACGTAAATAACAAGAATGTAAAAAGGAATTTTATTATTTTGTTTGTAAACACAATAAAATTCAAAGTATTTTTTTTTTTNTTTACCAAGAACTGACGTTCCATCACAGCTGTTTCGATTTGATTTTTTTTGTTGATAAAATACTTTTATCTGTTGTAGAATTTTTCATTTCACAAATTTTTTAATTATATGAAATTGTTTTTAAAATTTATAGTTGCTTTTTGAGTTCTGGTTTCTGCGGTTTCTTGTGGTAATAGACTGACTGGAGCAGTAGAAATGGACCCTACCACACCTGACTGACCAATAACGTGGCTCCTTTCCTTTTCGTATTCTTCTAACCAAAAGTTTATTTTTATATTTATAGATTTATTTAAAATATTCATATAGAACTGTGTCAACACGTTTCGCTCACTCTTCCCAATTTATTTTTCCAATGATTAAAACAATTATATTCTCAATATATAAAGTGGGCTATGTTCAGTTAACCCCTGTTAAACATTTTGATCGTACCGTATATTTTTTAAGTAAATTTATGAAAACATGTATTTTTACAAACAAACAACAAAAC